ATTTTCACAGTTCCAAAAATGCGAAATATGCAATTAACCCTGAAAATTCACCAAATATATTCTGTTTGAAAATTTATTTTTAGCATAATTCAACACTATAATATAGGCACATAGAAAATTATAAAGGAAAAACTTCATAACACACGACAACTTATTCAAAGCAAGAAAAAAATTGAAGGTGGAAGGAAGGTCTAAACCGTTGGTCGACCCGGGATCGAATCCCGCATTGGGCACTTTTTTATGATAAAAAATCTCCAGTGGCCTCCGATTCTTGCAGAAATCCAACCCTATCAGCGAGTTCAAGTAACCAAACGGGGCTCTGGCACATTTGTAAGTGTAAAGTCGAACTACTTTTCCCATGTGTAAACATGTGGTGCACTTACAGTAAAAAGCAGTCGCTAACTACCCACCATGATTATCATGGCCTGTACAAGGTGTATTGGGGATAAGCAAAAAAACGTGTAGACATGTGGTGAACTTACAGTAAAAAGCAGTCGCTAACTACCCACCATGATTATCATGGCCTGTACCACGTGTACTAGGGATAAGCAAAAAAAACATGTGTAGACATGTGGTACACTTACAGTAAAAAGCAGTTGCTAACTACCCACCATGATTATCATGGCCTGTACAACGTGTACTAGGGATAAGCAAAAAAAAATAATTAAAAATTATAAAATGACACAGCGGCAATGAGGCAAATTTACAGAGTATCAAAATATGAAATTTGACAATCTATTAATGAAATAATATATATATTGATACAGTATCGTGTATAACTGAGGTCATTAGAGAGCGCAGAAACAAAAATAAAATAAGTACAAATAAAGGTATTTGCACCCTTATAATAATATTGAAAACAGGTTTGATGCTATTTTTAGAGATAACGCGCCATCTGTAAATGAAGATTGGAACTATATAGGACGAAAGTTTTTTTTTACAATGCAAAAAGCCTCCTACTTTCCTTACTGCGATGAAAAAGAATGTTGTTTCATTCGTGAAAAAAAAAATCCGCGCTAAATAGTTGCATTCTTCATTTATAGATGGCGCTCAAATTCTATAAATGCAATGCCATATATCGATAAATTTTGTAGTATTTGAATTTTTCGCAATTATGTTTCTTTTAAATAATATCATCAAATCTCTACAGGCCTTACTGTAAAGATAAAGTTATTGAATGAGAGGGCTTGGCTCATCAGTGGCGAACCCTCTAAGCGATTACGCCTCAAATGATATATCAATAATCTATCATTATATTCCTATAAAGAACCTTTAATTGCGTTGAGGTCTTATATTAAATTGATACCTAATCAGTATTTGTGAATTGTTTATTTATATTTATGATTGTTTGTGGAAGAGCAATGTGATTTTGTGTTTATTTATTTATATACTTGTACTGTCCTTAAACCATTTGTTCCTAGTTTCCTTATATACTTTCAACAAGTTACCTTTTAAGTTTCCGACCAGTAGGGGTAGATTTAACTGGCGAAACCGCTGGGAGGGTTCGCCATTGATGAGTCAGGCACTTATCCAATTTTTTTTTTTTTCCATTCGCAGTAAGGACAATAGAAAGTTGTTTTAATTGGAGAAAGAAAATATCACGCTATAAATACACTCATGGACAAAACTTAAGGAAGTGGAAGATATTTGACGTTATTTTATATATACCAAAAAAAAGAGAGGACCTCACTCTTTAAATATATATGTAATATATATAGTATATATAAAAATAATCTTTAAAAATTAATAATAATTATTATTTTCAAGAACATCACCCTGAGTCTGCCTTCTCTCGATTTTACAATGATATTGAAAATCGACAAAAAGTTGCTGACACATTTTAAAAATCATCCTCCCAAGGTTTGATGCCGTAAGAGGTTGTTTACTTTTGATAAGAAAATGTCATTCATTAATACAGTTCTGTCGATCCAGACTTTATCTCAAAATTGACGTCTCATATGGCACCATTACTTGGGAGTGCCAACTAACTTTATTGACTACCGTTCATGTAAAACAACCCGGGTCACGCTATTTAAGTCTTACCTTAAGTTTTGTCCATGAATGTAGCTCTTCTGAGCTAATGCTATCACATTTTTTTTTTATTTGAGACATGTATATTGGAGTTTCAACAAATCTCTACAACATAGTCAATATTCTCCCGGTAAAATTTGCATATTATTTTATCCATAGAATTGACTTATCCACTTCAACCACTGAGAAACTCTTTCACAAAATATGAAGACGCCATAAATCCCTTGGGAATCACAGGGAATCAACGCCTGAGTTGGACTGACAAGAGCCATTAACCGAAATTAGGATCTCAAGGTTGACGTTCTGAAATTTCCAAAGCTGGTGTTGTTACCAAATAATGGGGAATGTGTACAGGTACGTCTCATTTATTAAAATAACAACAAAATCATGAGGTGAGAAGTTTCTTGTAGGCTTTTTTAAAATGTATACAAGCTTTCGAGTATTTCTCACTTCAACAGGAATAAAAATAAGAACGTACACCTTTAATATATTTGAAATACTCGAAAGCTCGTATGATGAGTCTTTTGTAGGATTTTTACAAATTTATACGAGCTTTCGAGCATTTCTCACTTCAACAGGAACAAAAATTGATAAAGAGGGAGCAATCTCTCGAAATATTTTAAGAAAAAAAATGTTTTTTTTTTTCCTTCTTTACAGATCCAGGTACGCCCTTTTATATAAAAATAAGAACGTTTACCTTGAGTATACGATTCTGTTTAAGTACAGAAATACTCGAAAGCTCGTTTGAGAAGTCTCTTGTAGGATTTTTTAAAATTTATACAAGCTTTCGAGCATTTCTCACTTCAAAAGGAACAAAAATAAGAACGTACACCTTGAATATACGATCCTGTTTTAAGGACAGAAATGTCCGAAAGCTTGTATAAAGAGCCCCTTGTAGGATTTTTACTAATTTATACGAGCTTTTCGAGCATTTCTCACTTCAACAGGAATAAAAATAAGAACGTATCCCTTGAAGTTGAAGTACTGTTGAAGTACAGAAATGCTCGAAAGCTCGTATGATGAGTCTTTGGTAAAATTTTTGCAAATTTTATACGAGCTTTTCTGCTCTTTAACAGGAACAAAAATAAGAACATATACCTTGAATATATGATCCTGTTGAAGTACAGAAAGGTTAGAAGCTCGTATGGGGAGTCTCTTGTAGGATTTTGTTTATTTATACGATTGATGTTTTATTCTCCACTTTCTGTAGATACATATTGCTTCTGTTTATCCAACTAGGAGAATCTTGTATGGGACAGTTGTCCCTAATAAAGGCTATGTTGTTGTTGATATCCACTCATGGACAAAACTTAAGGAAGTTGTACCTTTTAGCATGTATATCGGGATTGAGACAATAACTCTGAAAGATACACTCATGAACATAACTTAAGGAAGTTGTACCTTTTAGCATGTATTATCGGGATTGAGACAATAACTCTGAAAGATACACTCATGGACAAAACTTAAGGAAGTTGTACCTTTTAGCATGTATATCGGGATTCAGACAATAACTCTGAAAGATACACTCATGGACAAAACTTAAGGAAGTTGTACCTTTTAGCATGTATATCGGGATTCAGACAATAACTCTGAAAGATACACTCATGGACAAAATTTAAGGAAGTTGTACCTTTTAGCATGTATATCGGGATTAAGACAATAACACTGAAAGATACACTCATGTGGACAAAACTTAAGGAAGTTGTACCTTTTACCATGTATATCGGGAATGAGACAATAACTCAGAAAGATATTACAGTGACCTTTATTAAAGACACACGAGATAACCAAGTGTGAACAAAATTGACCCCTACAACAGAAAGAATTGGCGGATAACATTTCCAAGAAGAGATAAAAACCTAACGGCGACAAGTTGTTTCATTAATAATAAATAGACCTGTCTAGCCGTTAGCGGTTATCTCTTCTTAAAATTGCCAGACGACTGGCGACTTTCCACTTCCTTAACTTTTTTTAAGAAAAAAAAGGGCTTCTCCTGATCGCACAACTAAAAGTGCAAAAATGGATGAATTATTTCTTAAAAACAAATGAAACATTCCAAAGCTTTTTCCCGTTTGGAATTCAACATTTTTCCGCTCCAATTTTTATAATACCCAGTTTATAACGAACCATGGAAATTTTAATGGATTTTTATCAAAAATTGGCCGATTGAAGACTCTAGCTGTCATTGTGGCAACGAATTCCAGGATTCGAGACACCTACTGCTAGAACACCCACTCTTCTTCACCGCTAGACAACAGACAATACATAATGTTGTAGATCTATAGCAATTTGTAAATAGCAGAGAGAATTATCATAAGTTTAACTATTTTTGTAAATATATATATTTATGATTGTCTTTCAAACCTGAAAGGTTCAGGTTCCTAATATATATTATTGTTTCTCTTTTTTTATTTTTGATTACTTTTTCTTGTATAATATGTTTATAACTGTTTCTGTTTAAAAAAATATAAATCAGCGCAATTATCCCTAGCCGGGATATCGCGTTTTGTGTGTTGAAATAAAATCAAATCAAAATAAATATCAATTAATCGTTGATTAAAAAAAAATCCAAAATTAGTCAAATCTCCTTTCTTGATTAATCAAGAAAAGCTAACCAGGTACGCGTTTCGGGCGGTTGGCCCTTGTCAGTGCGATGCAAGCTCTACCTCAATGACCAAAAAAACTGGTTTTCAGTTTTGTCCATGAATGTAGCTCTTCTGAGCTAATGCTAACACATTTTTTTTTATTTGAGAGATGTACAGTATATGGGAGTTTCAACAAATCTCTACAACATAGTCAATATTCTCCCGGTAAAATTAGCATATTATTGTAGCCATAGAATTGGCTTATTCACTTCAATAACTGAGAACCTATTTCGTAAAATATGAAAACGCCATAATTGTGAATCACAGGAAATCAAAGCCTGAGTTATTTGGGTAATTTTGGAATATTTTTAACAAAAAATCAAAGCCTGAGTTGGACAGTTGGTTAGAACATCGTGCTGATAACGCGAAGGTCGTGGGTTCGATCCCCCCCATGGGCCATCCTTTTTCTGTTGGCTTGCTTGGTTTATTGCCACAGTGATCGTTCTGCTTGGTACAGCGTGTGGTAAGACTAAAAGATCATTCTATAAAGAACAATTAGTCGAGTAAAAGAGTGAGGCCTTGGACTGACAAGAGCCCTAGACCGAAATTAGGATCTCAAGGTTCGCGTTCTGAATTTTACAAAGCTGGTGTTTTCACCTACCTGAGCCTACAAGCGTTTCGGGCTTGTTAGCCCTCGTTAGCGAGGTGCAGGTTGTACCTTTTTATTATTATTTTTCACATAGTTTTTTGTATGATATTAAACTATGAATAAAAAAAAAGTGATCAATGTGCGATTCGAACCCGTGACCTGGTTGTCAGAGAAAGGACTGCATCAACTATTCCTATGGAACAATTAGCATCTAGCTAGCTGCTATACATGGGTAGTGAGGAAGTACATTTCAAGGCCAACCTGGATTAGAAGAACAAAGGCGCTTGTTTTGACCGGATTATTCCGGCTTATCTTCGTTCTGATAAGTCGCCAGTACTTTTTATGTCGTACACCTCGTTAGTGTTTTAGCTTGTGTCTGCTTTATACTCAGCCAATACCTTTATTAAGACCTTTAGTCTTATATACATATTCTCTTGAAAAATACAGCAAAGTGGGGCGAAAAAAGAGTAAAAAATAAATAAACAAATTTATATAGTAAATATATACGATTAAAGCTATAATTATTTGTATATATACTCATGGACAAAAGGAAGTGGAAAGTCTGATACCGCCGATCGTCTGTTTTTTTTAAGGAGACAGAAGGCAATTTTGTTTATATTTAGTTATCTGGTATGTCTTCAATAAAGGTCACTGTAATATATTTCAGAGTTATTGTCTGAATCCCGATATACATGCTAAAAAGTACAACTTCCTTAAGTTTTGTCCATGAGTGTATCTTTCAGAGTTATTGTCTGAATCCCGATATACATGCTAAAAGGTACAACTTCCTTAAGTTTTGTCCATGAGTGTATCTTTCAGAGTTATTGTCTGAATCCCGATATACATGCTAAAAGGTACAACTTCCTTAAGTTTTATCCATGAGTGTATCTTTCAGAGTTATTGTCTGAATCCCGATATACATGCTAAAAGGTACAACTTCCTTAAGTTTTATCCATGAGTGTATATTGTTCATAGGGTATTCTCCTGCATTCAATTTTAGGTTCAAATTGCCGTCGTATGTTTATAGAAGAAGGTAGAAATACTGGGATCAACAAAAACGAAAGAACTCTATACTCAACTACAGGATTTTAATAAGAATTATTTGTAAAAATAACGATTTTTTGTTGGGTTCAAGAGTTGTTTAAAAGAAGCCTTAATATTATTAAGAATTTAGCACACAATTTTGACGTAAAATTCAATAAATGACTTACCGATATATATATATATATTTTTCAAATATATTTATTCAGAGCTTTCGGGTCTTGATCTTTCTCAACTTTTAGGTAAAATGAATGATTAAAAAAAGCAAGCAATAATTATCAGCACTTTACAAAATTATTTATTTGAATAAGACAGATATTGAGATATTGCAGTTCATTAGTGGCTTTTGTTTACTTATCACAAGTACACGTGGTACATGCCATGATAATCATGGTGGGTAAATAGTGATTCCTGTAAGTACGCCACGTGTCTATATAATATATGTAGAAAGCAGCTCGATTTTTGCATTTACAAGATGTCAGATC